AGTACGAATAATTATATACATATTTCGTATATTGTATAACAGTCTACGTTTAAATAGATATTGTATATACATTTACGTGGGGTGCAATTAGCGAGACGACCGAGACGCTACTGATTCGTACAAACTCCATTTCCGAATGAATGGCCGGAAACCAATCGGTAATATCGAATAGCGTAACAATTAATTTTGGCGAGGTATTCTACGACATGTGTTTTTCTATCAAGTGGCGCGATTCCGATAAATATACATATAGATGCATTGCACGTGACTATCGATATATGTATATACATACACTTCAGCTGATATTTCATCCAGTGAATATTCTGACCCAGCGACTAACGACTATTAATTTAGCGCAACTGCTGGCACTGCTTTCGTCAAATATTTATTCCGCACGTACACGTTGCTATATTCCGCACAATTCTTTTTGATTTATATATGGTCTTTTTTGGACAATATATAACTATGATAGTTTTTCCAAAGCTCAATTAACCGTATGATCTTTTAAATAACTACCAGTTTACGTATTATTATTACAAAAAAAAAAAACAATGTATCGTAAATTATTTCAATAAATGTCTCTAAATTTTTAAATGTAATGTAAATGATTAATATCTTTAAAATTTGAATCTCTGCAAAAGTTCATTTTAAAAGAATATTTTACTTACCTACAATTTTCTAAAATTTTCTAAAATTTGTTTTGCGAATGTAGGTTCAATATTCGTTCGCATTCAGTGCGGTACGGAATAGAAGATATCGCTTATCAGTTACCGGATTCTTGATCAATACACTGTGTACCAAGTCTATGGTCATGTTTCAGGTTGAAATGCTGTACCAGCGCTATTTCTTACGTATGAATCAAAGTAACATGACGCATGTGCTCGGTCTACTAGTCGGATTGGCGTTTGCATTGGGTCTACTACTCATTATGAAGTTGATGCTGATCGGCAACCAGCCGCTCTTCACTCTACTACAGAGACCCGAAAATCTCTCCCTCGCGATCACTCTGATAACCTGTGTCGCTATTTATGCTGGTAAGACTTAATCTTCATTTAATTTTTATAACTAATTTTTTTACAGATATGACACGCGACATATTTCCGGCGACAGCCGGAAGATTCGAGATGTTGGAATTAACTTTGCTTCAAGATTTCATTTTGCGTAAATCTGGGAGATAAAATTGAAGGTTTATTGATTTATAATATATGTATAACAAATTAATTCAGAATATTATTTTGGAATTTAAAAATTTAAATTTAAATCTTGCATTTAATTTTATTCGAATAGTATTGAATCGATTTAAAAATCACTTTCAAATTTACTTCCAATTAAAATTTCATTATGAAATTTCAATTCAATTAAAATCTATTCGAACTAGGAATGCATGTTATTATAATGTAAAAAAAAAATTTACTTTAAAATTCAATTACAAACTGAAATTAAAATTCAAATTACAGTAAATAATATTCTAAATTTTCAATAAACTTTCAGACATATTTCCTTCCGCTTAAAGAAAAATCGAATCAACGCTTGAAATATTTTTGAATAAAATATCTAATCGTCCAAGGCCGATAAAATTCTATTTATAGGGAAATCTTCAACTTTCATAAAATATACAGTTTGAACATTACCGGAATTGCATTGAAACAGCTCTATACTCAGATATCGTGAATGCTAAAAGATGCGTATTCTATCCTCTATGTACAAAGACAGAGAGAGAGAGAAGAGAGAGAGAGAGAGAGAGAGACCCTTGTTTTCCATGAGCCGTGATGTTTCACGAGGTATCAATAATGCATGAAATATTGTCTACAAGTGCTGTTGCCTTTCTTAAGCGTCAGCACACGCAGCGAGACCCGCTTTTCGCGTCTTGCAGCGACTCGCAAAGGTCATTCCTTTCGACCAGGATGAAGCTTTGACCGAGCAACGTTGCGCCGGTAACTTTAATCGAGTTTCTATCTGAAGAAGCTTACTTATGAAGTCTTATAATGTAACAACTTGCCGGGGGCTGGTGATAAATAATGAATCTTCCTTTTCCGCCGGGATTCCCCGCGGGAAGGGAAAAAAGGAAGTCGCCTCGGAGGGATCTGCTATGTTGAAATGTTCAACCCGTTTATTCTGAGAAATGCGTCGACATACGGCACAACCTCGTGTCGTATATATTTCATACCTCTCAACATCTTTCCCGAAAAACATTTCGAAGAACGTTTTCAAAAGACTCGAGTATGAGCGAGTACAAATTTTTTTCTTCCAGTCTTGGTGGCAGCCATCTCCAGACCGGGCATGAACGAGATATGGCTGGCAGGTGTTAGTGGCGCGGTGCTGGTCACCCTGCTCGCCCTGCAGGTGACCCTGAGCCTTCACCTGGCGCGTCTGCACGAGGTGGGCCGCGAGAATACCGGCGACACGTTGTCCTCCAGATCGAAGGATCGAGCCGGAGGACCCCTCGCAGCTGCCCTGGCGGTCTGCTTCTTCATCTACATGGCCTACGCTCTTCTGCCCATCAGACTCAGGCACGCCTGCATTGCCGGGATCATCTTCTCGGCTGCTCATCTCATCGGAGCCTTCCTGCTCTATCCGCAGGACTATCCATCCATGATGGCACACGTGAGTCTTATCACAGTATTAGCAGACTTCGCTTATTCAAGAGAATTCATTCACTCATCTTTTAGAATTGTATCCATGTATATATCTTGGATTAAAAAGAATGCGTATTCAATCCTTCCATTTTTTTTTTTTTTTTTTAACTATAAATCGCTCATTTTTTAATGTAAATTTCATGAAAGTGATAGAACTCTTAGAAAAGTTTTTAATATTTTACAGTAAGTTTATATTTAAGAAATACTCTGAATGTTTTTTTCATAATGTAATAAGGTCAAGAGAGTCTCTTTTAATTAAATATGATTGAAAATTTAATTTTGTATAAGTAATTAAATTTAATAATTAATTCGATCTTAACGTTCTGACTTTTAATTGACGCTTTCTAAAAAGTTCATCTTACGTCATAATAATTTGGAAGAAGCTGCGAGTGTAGATTATTATTTTAAATAACGAAGAATCGATTCTCTGTTCGATAATAAGTGTCAAGATAATCAAAGCGATATTCAATATTAAAAAAGTCTCCACGCTTTGCTGTGGCACATATGACAATTATAATCTGCAGATTCGCGTTAATTAGCGATCGAGTTTGTACATATACTACGTTTGGGTCAGCAATTAGCGAAAATAGGTTACCCGATGATATTAATTAATTAACGTTACGCGGAGTTCATAGTGCATTGCACGTTTCCGGCGAATACTACCGATACCACCGATGGATCTTGATCTGTATTTTCAATCGAGATAGCATTTATTGCGGGAGATTGTAGCTAAATACATATTATATTAAATTGCATGTAATAATCGTTCATGACAATTAAATCCAATAATTCTTTGAAATGTCATTCAGATGAAATATTCGAATATAAATAAAACAAATACACGAGAATAATAAATAAAAATTAGACTTTTTATATTGCGTAGAATAAAAATTGATGTAAGAAGATTGAATTCTTTTTAATAAAAATTAAAAATTGTTTAAAAACGTTATCTTTTGTATTTCTTACATTACATACATTCTTGTATTAACATGTGTAATATAATTTAAGATTATTTAAAATCTTCTAAAGTCACCGAATGATATGACAGATGATAGATTGGATATAACATTTTCTATTTCTATTTTGTTTGATAGAGATTAGAGATATTTTTATAATCTTCGTTCTGTCGATAAATTTTAAATTAAACTTCCTCTCGCCTCTCCTAGGAAACTCCTTGTCAAGTATTAAAGTAAATCTGTGAAACATTTCTTTAACGTCAAGTATTGTGATACTTCATGATTGTCGACGTAAATGTAAATGACGGCGCGAATAACAGGGCGATTATTAAGCAAAACTGGCACTGTAATCAATACACATCGTCACAGAAATGGTTAGAGTTCACGAAGTGACACAATACCTGGCAACCGTACGCGTATCTATTTATTAACGGCGCACAAAGTGGGCATGAATGCCCGAAACGAGGTGTGTTGTTCGCAAATAGCTGGCAAACTGAATTGGAAATCTAATTAAAGCGGATCTCGGTCTGCTTCGATGTTTGCCCGAGTACGTTTTGGCACGGTATTAATCTCATTTTTATTGTCGAATTTTAAATATAACTGCTCAAAAATATGCACTCGCGTTTTTTTCTTTCCTTCGAATCCTCTTTATCTTTTCATTTCATTACTCACGAAAAAAAGAAAGATATATAAATAATCTCAACAAACAAGCAAAACGCATAAAAGGCTTCAATGTAAATTATTAAATTATTCCTATAACATTAATTAGACAAGAGTTACAAATGTAAAAGATCAAACAAAACTGTGTATTCTATAATTTTTTAACGACAGACTGAAATAAAAATTATTGAATTTTGATAAATTCATTCGACGATTTTAATTATAATTAAAGAAACATTAAGGAAACAAACGAAGCCAAGTACCGAGAAGGTAATCTGGAAACTAGCCTTATTCTTTCAAGTGCATCCATTACAAATCTCGTTAGCTTTTACATCGTGATCAGAGAGCATTGGCCAGCCGCTTTGATAAGAGATAAGAAAATAAATCAATGCCATAGAAGAAGCTAAAGGGAACATCGTGCTAGATGTCGACCATGCTTGTTGCGAAGTCTCGTGGAAAGGGTTTGGTCTTATTGCATCTCTGTCCGGATGGACGTACCCCATCCATCCAAGTTTCCCGCCTGGATTCTCCCTTCTCGCGCTCCATTTAAGTTTTATTACAAGTCAAGAACTCGGGATTTCGCGTAATTATGAACGCATCGAGATCGCACTTTGTCGCCTCATCGAAGAATCTAGCTATCCGTTTTTTTAAAGGACACCGTAACGAAAATAGATTTGTTACAACTAAAGCCGATATTAATAAAAGTTAGTATCGAATATAAAATACCGATGCCATAATTATAAAGAACGTTCTAAGTTGCAAAATAAATTTAGTCGTTCGCAGTTTGTTCATAATCTGTGTGTAATAAAAAGATTTATTTGCATATAACGAAGCAAATTTCAAAAATTTTTTTTTTAACGTTAAAGAATATTTTTTTTCTTTTTTTTTATCACACCAGACATTCTTCGATATTCTTTTAGTAAGTAAAATATAATAGAAGAGAATATAATTAGGGGATGCGGATTATGATGCATTTAGGATATAGGATGGATCAAATTAAGCAATTTGAGACTGGCGCGAGCTGATGATTCGGACAAAGTGAGTGGATCGCGTATCGCGATCTCTTTCAAATGCGATCTCCATTGGAAATCGCGTTACGCACCTCGCGCGGCCGGCGCATTAATAATTCATCCGGCTCGTTATTTTCACGGAGAGTAATATCATTTCATCGTCCAGACGTCCACACACGTCGCGTCCCACAAAATCGCCCATCGTAATTGCTTTTCGCACCGCCGCGTGCGATACATACGACAAGCCCGATATATCCGTTAGAGAGGCCCAACGGAGGGAGGGCTTACCACCACCCTCTCCGGATAAATCGTGCCGCATCTCACGCGGAACGAAAGATAACGTTTTAGTTAGCCGGAAGGAAGTCTCGTTAAGCCGGGCACAAAGCCCGACACGTCTGAAAGAAGAGCGCGCGATTTTACAATGCGGTTAATTAACAAACCACGAGGAGGAGGATACGTTTGTGGAGGAAACGTTTCGAGCACTGCTTCGCGTAAAATCAAATTTAACTCTTGAAGAGCTGACGAGCCGTTATATTAAAAGGGACGCACTCGTGTAATTTCGTATAACTTTCTGTTATCTTACTATACGCACTCTTAAATATTAATCTAAAAGTTACATTACATTCCTAAATTTCCTAACGTCGCGAGTAGAGGAGGAGCTCATTAATGATGAAATTAATTGTTTAGCAATGCTCACGTAATTTCTTTTATAATCGTCTTTGGAAAATAAACTGATGTTACTTTGGGAAATAAACTGATGTTTTGAAACTAAGAAGAAACGCAGGGTGCAGCGAGGCGGAAGAAACTCAGCAGCGAAATGAAGTTTCCGAATGGTTTATTAAGAATCAAGGGTGCTCGTAAACCAACCCTCATTACAGCAAACAATTTGATCCCTCGAGACGAGGTATTCCGAGGCACTTTCACTAAGCCAGGGATCAAGCCGAAAATGGTAAAAATTTCAATCGGTAATACAATAAAATGTTGCAGTTCGCGGTTACATTTTCTTCTTAAATCGTTAACTGTCGTCCCTTGTCGTATATTGTGTTTTACTTTTCATCACAAGGGACAAGAGTTGCGACGTTAAATTGATTCAATTCGTAAGATGCGAAATAAATTTTTATATTAGGCAAACAAGTAAGGAATAAGATCTTGAATATTGAAGAATTCTTTTTAAAAATAAATCTGCCACGGAATTTCATAGCACAAAGTGGCAGAAAGAAATTATTATAATAAAAAGAATTACTAAATTAAATTAATAGCATGGCTTTGCTGCCGCATATGATGGTTTATGCTTGTTGCGAAGCTTTCCTTAATAAATTGCTGCGTCTTAATTCTTTTCTTAAGCTCGACTGTAAATCACGCGGATGTATAATAATTAAAGGTGAATAATGCGAAGTAACTTTACGTATCGCTTGTAATACCTGCCGTAACTTTAATCCTGTAAACTGTAAGTACAGCACGTTTTTCGTTCAGCCCGAGCGAAGATAAATTGAAAGATGGTACTTGGCTTTACACTAATCAGCTTATCGCGTAAGCCACTTGACGATCATTCCGGAGCAGCATCACATCCACTAAGGAGAGTGTAATTATATTAAGAACGCGAGTGATCTATGAGAAGTTCTCTCATTTTATGCTATTATTTTATTCGCCTCTCCCCCCCCTCCCTCTTCTCCCCCCCAGCCCGGTGACGTGCATTCGCGACAAAATATGCATAAGCATGCATAAGCCACTTTAGCGATAAATATTTTATAAAGTAGCTTTCTAAAATATCTGCTGTTTATGGAAATTATCAGTGAAGCGCAGATTGAAGAGAATACACGTGCACGAGGGTGAGAGACTTTTAAAAGATCTCATTTTTGCCAAAATATATTTTCGTGATAGAATCAAAATTCATCGCTGCAATTTTCTCGCGCAATTTTTATTCGCGGCACTAAAACTACCACGTTATTAAGACATTTAGGCCCGATTGCATCAACGTTATTTTGGCTTTAAACGAGACTTATATAATACGTGTCTATCTTCATTTATCTAGAAAGAGAGATAAAAACAGATACGCGAGAGATAAAGTCTCGCTTAAAGCTGGAATAATGTTGATGAACGAGCCTGAACCGAGCCTGAAAGAATTGCTAATTATGACAACTGCGGCCGACGGTTAATTAAACAGTTACAGACACGTTCCGGGGTTGCGACACTTCTCGCGGGACAAACGGGGGAAACTTTCCTCAATCTATTCGCAAGCCGGGAAGTTCGCGACGTGCGTATCCTCGGCGTTTAATGTCCTTATCACGAGTGTCCGAGTGTCCGCGCGATAGGCTCGGCGAACTTGTTGCCACGACTTGCAG